TGCAAAATGACATGATTTTAATAGTTATGTTGGTGGACAAGAGATAAAACTGGAACAAGAATTTTCAAAGTAGACTTATGATAAAGTAAAAGAGCAATATAAACAAAAAGTCCATGCTATACTTTTTTCAATTAAAACCCTTTAATAGCATTATTCACATTTATGTTGTCTTCATAGATATGCATGCATGATGTAACTGTATAGTCATGGCTTGTGAGTTATATTCACATATGGGCGAGACTACTGGGCTACTGGTCTAGTGACAGCTAGTAAAGTGTACGTGGGCCTTCTGGTTCTGCAAAATGGCTCAATACACTGAAGAAGTTCCTGCTACTAAAGAATATGAAGTTTTAAGGAGGAAGGCTAGCAGGCTTCAACAAGCAATCAGTGATCCAATCTTGCTGTCAATTGATCTGTTTTCAAAGAATCTTGTTTCTCATTCAACTCTTCAAAAAGTGAATGTTCCTGCCACTACACCAAATGCACAAAACTATGAGATTATAGATAGCTTACTTCGAGCAGTGGCCATAGATCCCAAAAATTTTCACAAGCTCCTTCAAGTACTAGAGGATCATCCTCCACTATTGACTGTTGTAGGCAAAGAAATGAAAGAAGACTATGGTATGTAACTTAAGTTTTAATTGTCATTAATTTTTTTACTTATTAGAGTCATGCACATCACCTCAAGAGCAGAAAAGTAAATATATATTTGTAAAATAAAAAAGTTATGAAAAAAATTATTTAGAAGTAATCTCTGTTGATGGTCAAGATATGCAAAATGAGTATGATGAAATGCTTGGACGGTTAGCAGGACTAGTGCTTGATTTTCAGAAAGTAGTTGAAAAGGCAAATGTCAACATTGAAGATCTGAAGCAATTTGTCATCGTACGTTATCCTGATGAGCAGTATAGAAATGAGCTAAGGAAAGCAAGTGATATTAATGAAGTGTTTGCTATAATCCGTAGCAAATTTTGCTCTCTCTTCAATTACTCTGTTCTGCTACGAATTGCTGAGAAATTTAATCTTCCTGATGGATTTAAAGTAATAAGAGAATACAAAGTAAAGGAAGATGATTATCATAAGATATTGAGTAGCTCCTCACTTGCCAGTGAACTGCAGAGAGAAAACGAATTACTTTGTCAGAATTTATCTCATACAAAGAAAATCATTATTAAGTTACGGGGATGGTCACGACCACCAGCACCAACAGTTGCTGAGTTTCAGGAAGTTATCAAAAATGTTTTTGCTGACCTTGGAGACTTGCTTCATATCCTTAAAGTTGAGTCTGGTTCGATAATTGTTACAATGTGTACTCCTGAACGAGTGACGGGAGCACTAATAGCTCTGGCAAAGAGGAAAATAGCATATCTTAAGGATATTGGAGTGAGCTCATTAACAATTGGAGACACTTTAATCATAAATAACATTGAAGATACAGAAGAGGTATACAGCATTTTAAATTATTATTGTAATTAATAATTAATATTATATATAGTTATCACACAACGTCATTCAGCAAGACAAGATCTCTTCCTCCAGTCCTAATAAGGTAGTGCCGGAAGATGTGAATAGTTTTACTATCAGTTTATATTGCATTTATAGGAGGAAAATACTTCAGATCAACTGCCAAGTAAGTGTATAATTGTAAATTTTAGCATTATAATATTATTTATTACATATAATTTTACTATTATATACAGGCTCATCAGTTACTGGTACTGAATCTGAATCAAGCCGTCCATCAAGACAAGCTGGAGCGGATGATGCAGGAGATGATACTGATCAAGGAAGAGGAAGTGATTCAGCTACTCCAATGGTTAGCCCAACATGGCGTCATCATCCTTTCACACCAAGAGAAGTAATGATTATTGGATCATT